TTCTTTAAAAATCCACGCCTCTGTATGAGCCTCAAAAAATATTCTTTAAAAATCCACGCCTCTGTATGAGCCTCAAAAAAATATTCTTTAAAAATCCACGCCTCTGTATGAGCCTCAAAAAATATTCTTTAAAAATCCACGCCTCTGTATGAGCCTCAAACAAAATTCTTTAAAAAACCACGCCTTTAAAAATCCACGCCTCTGTATGAGCCTCAAAAAAATATTCTTTAAAAATCCACGCCTCTGTATGAGCCTCAAAAAATATTCTCAAAAAAATCCACGCCTCTGTATGAGCCTCAAAAAAAAAATTCTTTAAAAATCCACGCCTCTGTATGAGCCTCAAAAAATATTCTTTAAAAATCCACGCCTCTGTATGAGCCTCAAAAAAATATTCTTTAAAAATCCACGCCTCTGTATGAGCCTCAAAAAATATTCTTTAAAAATCCACGCCTCTGTATGAGCCTCAAAAAAATATTCTTTAAAAATCCACGCCTCTGTATGAGCCTCAAATCGAAGGATATATAAAGGACTTTGGTGCTCTATTTACATAAATCGTACGAAAAAATATATGGGAGCTATATCTTAATCTGAACCGATTTTTACTAAACTTAACACACATTGTTCTAGACCTAATTCATTACGATGTGCCAAATTTAGTGCAAATCGAAGGATATATAGGGACTTTGGTACACCATTTACCTAAAATCGGGCGAAACTATATATGGGAGCTATATCTGAATCTGAACCGATTTTCTAGAAACTTACCACACATCATTCTAGACCTAATTTGGTACGCTATACCAAAATTCGTGCCAATCAAAAGATTTGCAGGGACTTTGTTGCATCATTTACCTAAAATCGGGCGAAACTATATATGGGAGCTATATCTGAATCTGAACCGATATTCAAGAAACTTACCACACATCATTCTAGACTTAACTCCGTACGCTATACCAAATTTCGTGCAAATCGAATGGTTTTCAGGGACTTTGATACACCATTTACCTAAAATTGGGCGAAACTATATAGGAGCTATATCTAAATCTGAACCGATTTTTCCAATTTCAATAGGGATCGTCCTTGTGCCAAATAAATGAGCTGTGCCAAATGTCATCCAAATCGGATTTTAAATGCCACCTGTACTTTGTTTAAAATTTAACATCAACAGACGGACAGACGGACGGACATGCATAAATCGACTCAGAAAGTGATTCTATGCATATTCTCAAAATTAACCATGTGTCTATCTCTGTACAACAGTGTGGTGAAGGGTATAAAAATATACGCCTCTGTATGAGCCTCAAAAAAATATTCTTTAAAAATCCACGCCTCTGTATGAGCCTGTCTATCTCTGTACAACAGTGTGGTGAAGGGTATAAAAATACACGCCTCTGTATGAGCCTCAAAAAAATATTCTTTACAAATCCACGCCTCTGTATGAGCCTCAAAAAATATTCTTTAAAAATCCACGCCTCTGTATGAGCCTCAAAAAAATATTCTTTAAAAATCCACGCCTCTGTATGAGCCTCAAAAAATATTCTTTAAAAATCCACGCCTCTGTATGAGCCTCAAAAAATAGTCTTTAAAAATCCACGCCTCTGTATGAGCCTCAAAAAATATTCTTTAAAAATCCACGCCTCTGTATGAGCCTCAAAAAAAAATTCTTTAAAAATCCACGCCTCTGTATGAGCCTCAAAAAATATTCTTTAAAAAACTCCACGCCTCTGTATGAGCCTCAAAAAAATATTCTTTAAAAATCCACGCCTCTGTATGAGCCTGTCTATCTCTGTACAACAGTGTGGTGAAGGGTATAAAAATACACGCCTCTGTATGAGCCTCAAAAAAATATTCTTTAAAAATCCACGCCTCTGTATGAGCCTCAAAAAATATTCTTTAAAAATCCACGCCTCTGTATGAGCCTCAAAAAAATATTCTTTAAAAATCCACGCCTCTGTATGAGCCTCAAAAAATATTCTTTAAAAATCCACGCCTCTGTATGAGCCTCAAAAAAATATTCTTTAAAAATCCACGCCTCTGTATGAGCCTCAAAAAATATTCTTTAAAAATCCACGCCTCTGTATGAGCCTCAAAAAATATTCTTTAAAAATCCACGCCTCTGTATGAGCCTCAAAAAATATTCTTTAAAAATCCACGCCTCTGTATGAGCCTCAAAAAAAAAATTCTTTAAAAATCCACGCCTCTGTATGAGCCTCAAAAAATATTCTTTAAAAATCCACGCCTCTGTATGAGCCTCAAAAAAATATTCTTTAAAAATCCACGCCTCTGTATGAGCCTCTGTACAACAAAAAAATTCTATAAAAATCCACGCCTCTGTATGAGCCTCAAAAAAATATTCTTTTAAAAATCCACGCCTCTGTATGAGCCTCAAAAAATATTCTTTAAAAATCCACGCCTCTGTATGAGCCTCAAAAAAATATTCTTTAAAAAACGCCTCTGTATGAGCCTCAAAAAATATTCTTAAAAAATCCACGCCTCTGTATGAGCCACAAAAAATATTCTTTAAAAATCCACGCCTCTGTATGAGCCTAAAAAAATATTCTTTAAAAATCCACGCCTCTGTATGAGCCTCAAAAAAAAAATTCTTTAAAAATCCACGCCTCTGTATGAGCCTCAAAAAATATTCTTTAAAAATCCACGCCTCTGTATGAGCCTCAAAAAAATATTCTTTAAAAAAAATCCACGCCTCTGTATGAGCCTCAAAAAAAAAATTCTTTAAAAATCCACGCCTCTGTATGAGCCTCAAAAAATATTCTTTAAAAATCCACGCCTCTGTATGAGCCTCAAAAAAATATTCTTTAAAAATCCACGCCTCTGTATGAGCCTCAAAAAATATTCTTTAAAAATCCACGCCTCTGTATGAGCCTCAAAAAAATATTCTTTAAAAATCCACGCCTCTGTATGAGCCTCAAAAAAATATTCTTTAAAAATCCATGCCTCTGTATGAGCCTCAAAAAATATTCTTTAAAAATCCACGCCTCTGTATGAGCCTCAAAAAATATTCTTTAAAAATCCACGCCTCTGTATGAGCCTCAAACAAATATTCTTTAAAAATCCACGCCTCTGTATGAGCCTCAAAAAAATATTCTTTAAAAATCCACGCCTCTGTATGAGCCTCAAAAAAATATTCTTTAAAAATCCACGCCTCTGTATGAGCCTCAAAAAAATATTCTTTAAAAATCTACGCCTCTGTATGAGCCTCAAAAAAAATTCTTTAAAAATCCACGCCTCTGTATGAGCCTCAAAAAAATATTCTTTAAAAATCCACGCCTCTGTATGAGCCTCAAAAAAATATTCTTTAAAAATCCACGCCTCTGTATGAGCCTCAAAAAAATATTCTTTAAAAATCCACGCCTCTGTATGAGCCTCAAAAAAATATTTTTTAAAAATCCACGCCTCTGTATGAGCCTCAAAAAAATATTCTTTAAAAATCCACGCCTCTGTATGAGCCTCAAAAAAATATTCTTTAAAAATCCACGCCTCTGTATGAGCCTCAAAAAAATATTCTTTAAAAATCCACGCCTCTGTATGAGCCTCAAAAAAAATTCTTTAAAAAACCACGCCTTTAAAAATCCACGCCTCTGTATGAGCCTCAAAAAAATATTCTTTAAAAATCCACGCCTCTGTATGAGCCTCAAAAAAATATTCTTTAAAAATCCACGCCTCTGTATGAGCCTCAAAAAAATATTCTTTAAAAATCCACGCCTCTGTATGAGCCTCAAAAAAATATTCTTTAAAAATCCACGCCTCTGTATGAGCCTCAAAAAAATATTCTTTAAAAATCCACGCCTCTGTATGAGCCTCAAAAAAATATTCTTTAAAAATCCACGCCTCTGTATGAGCCTCAAAAAAATATTCTTTAAAAATCCACGCCTCTGTATGAGCCTCAAAAAAATATTCTTTAAAAATCCACGCCTCTGTATGAGCCTCAAAAAAATATTCTTTAAAAATCCACGCCTCTGTATGAGCCTCAAAAAAATATTCTTTAAAAATCCACGCCTCTGTATGAGCCTCAAAAAAATATTCTTTAAAAATCCACGCCTCTGTATGAGCCTCAAAAAAATATTCTTTAAAAATCCACGCCTCTGTATGAGCCTCAAAAAAATATTCTTTAAAAATCCACGCCTCTGTATGAGCCTCAAAAAAATATTCTTTAAAAATCCACGCCTCTGTATGAGCCTCAAAAAAATATTCTTTAAAAATCCACGCCTCTGTATGAGCCTCAAAAAAATATTCTTTAAAAATCCACGCCTCTGTATGAGCCTCAAAAAAATATTCTTTAAAAATCCACGCCTCTGTATGAGCCTCAAAAAAATATTCTTTAAAAATCCACGCCTCTGTATGAGCCTCAAAAAAATATTCTTTAAAAATCCACGCCTCTGTATGAGCCTCAAAAAAATATTCTTTAAAAATCCACGCCTCTGTATGAGCCTCAAAAAAATATTCTTTAAAAATCCACGCCTCTGTATGAGCCTCAAAAAAATATTCTTTAAAAATCCACGCCTCTGTATGAGCCTCAAAAAAATATTCTTTAAAAATCCACGCCTCTGTATGAGCCTCAAAAAAATATTCTTTAAAAATCCACGCCTCTGTATGAGCCTCAAAAAAATATTCTTTAAAAATCCACGCCTCTGTATGAGCCTCAAAAAAATATTCTTTAAAAATCCACGCCTCTGTATGAGCCTCAAAAAAATATTTTTTTAAAACTCCACGCCTTTATTAGCCTCAAGAAATATTTTTTTAAAAATCCACGCCTCTGTATGAGCCTCAAAAAAATACGCCTTTATTAGCCTCAAAAATCCACGCCTCTGTATGAGCCTCAAAAAATATTTTTTTAAAACTCCACGCCTTTATTAGCCTCAAAAATCCACGCTGCTGTAGAGCCTCAAAAAAAATATTTTTTAAAAATCCACGCCTCTGTAAGCGCCTTTGTAGGAGCCTCAAAATATATTCTTTAAAAATCCTCTCTCTCTCCTTTAAAACCTTGTAATATTTATATTTATTATTTTTTACAGTTCTGGGAAGTCATCTCCGATGAACATGGCATCGATCCCAATGGCAACTACTATGGTGAAAATGACATGCAATTGGAACGTGTCAACGTTTACTACAACGAAGTCAATGGCAATAAATATGTGCCACGTGCCGTGCTCATTGATTTGGAACCCGGTACCATGGATTCCGTGCGTCAATCACCCTATGGTCAATTGTTTAGACCAGATAACTTTGTGTTCGGCCAATCTGGAGCCGGTAAGTGATAACTTTTATTATCATTATCAAAATGTTTAAAATGATTTGTTTTGTTGTTTCTCCTTTTAGGTAACAACTGGGCCAAGGGCCATTATACCGAAGGCGCTGAACTAATTGAAAGCGTCTTGGATGTTGTCCGCAAGGAATCTGAAGGCTGTGATTGCCTTCAAGGTTTCCAATTGGCCCATTCATTGGGTGGTGGTACCGGTTCTGGTTTGGGTACTTTGTTGATTTCGAAAATCCGCGAAGAATATCCCGATAGAATTATGAATACCTTTTCGGTGGTACCTTCTCCTAAGGTGAGTGATTTGTGTTCTTTTAAACATTAAGTAGATGTTTAATCAAATGGCAAACGTAATGCGCGCAAAATACGACTAACTAATAAATGAGAATGGCTATAAATGTTGTGCATTTTGAGATTGTAAACAAAATATTTGATAAGACTTGGTAAATTACTACCAGAAGAAAACGAAATACATAACTGCAGACGCTCCAAAAACCCGTTTTTTTTTTAAGTTTTTACAATGGAAATCATTCCGAACTCATTTTGATTTAATGTGTGGGAAAAATTAGGACTATACCACGGATGATCCACAATTCCACGTTGTGTCGGATAAAAAATATGCTGGGCTTAGCCGATGTTTTTCTTGGGTTTATCCCTAGACCATTGGCAGTTTGACAGAGTTGCTAGGCTACTCTCTATTACTCTCCAATATTACGGATAGTGTCCTGTCAATATAAACGAAGCAATGCATGGTCACACGTCCAAACCAACTGAGTATGTTTTTTTTACACCCTCCACCATAGTATGGAGGGTATATTAATTTTGTCATTCCGTTTGTAACTCATCGATATATTCATTTCCGACCCTATTGATCAGGGTAAAATTCTAAGACGATCTAGCCATGTCCGTCCGTCTATCTGCCCGTCCGTCCGTCTGTTGTAATCACGCTTCTGAAGGATCATCTTCTGAAGGAATTGAGAAAGGGTGAATTGCATAGGGTTGTCTTTTGTCTGCAGACCGGTCAAGTTCGAAGATGGGCTTCATCGGTCCACGTTTAGGCATAGCTCCCATATAACAGTACCCCCCCCCCCCAATTTTTGGTATATTGGGGTTCTTGGGCGCGTTTTTCAACCGAATACCCTGAAATTTGGTACATTGGGATACTAAATTTCCCCACTACCACTTTTTTCTGGTAGCCCCCATATAACGGTACTTGCTAATTTTCAGTATTTTGGGTGTTTTGATCGTATTTTTCCACCGAATTGGCTGTAATTTAGTATTTGGAGTTCCTAATAGGTACCATATCTCTCCACATAAAATTATAAATATAGGGTAATTTTTTCGGATATCCCCCCTATAAGGGTACCCCCCAATTTTCGGTATTTTGGGGTTCTTGAGCGCGTTTTTCAACCGAATTCGCTGAAATTTGCTACATTAGATTCTTATTGGGTACTAAATGTCTCCACAAAAAATTATAAATATAGGTCCACTTTTTCTGCTAGCCCCATATAACGGTACCTCCTAATTTTCAGTATTTTTGTGATTTTGATCGTATTTTTCCGCTGAATTAGCTGTAATTCAGTATTTTGCCATAGGCTGAGGGTATAATTATCCTTTAAAAAATTTTGAAATTCGTATTATGGTTTACATAATCCTATTGTAGAAATTTCGGTATAGGTCCACTTTTTGGTATATCCCCTATATTTATACCTTACACAACTATGTTGTCAGGGTATTATAGCTTTGTGCAGAACGAAAAGTTTGTAACGCCGCGAAATATTGGTCCTAGACCCACCTTTAAGTATACCGATCGTCATATCTCGACTAGCTGAGTCGATCTAGACATGTGTGTCCGTCCGTATGTCCGTCTGTCCATTATAATTTGTAAACACGATACAGGCCACAGGTATGGACCAATCTTCACGAAATTTTGCATGTAGGATGGGTTCTGGCCAATGAAGACCCCTATTGTTTTTGATAAAGATCGGTTAATATTTAGGGGATGAAATGGACCAAATACTAAATTTTTGTCGGTTTTTCTGGTCGCTCCAGAGGCCGCAGTTATGGTTCGAACATCGTGATATTTTACATGGAGAAAGGGATAGGGCCTAAGAATAAGCATGTCTGTTTTGATAAAGATCGGTCAATATTTAGCGGGTCAAATTGACCCTGACTTTTGTGTGAAAAATTACAAAATTTTTATTCTGGGGCGTATATATTTGCTCCTGAAGGACATATAGAGATGTTGATAGTATGTCCAAGATGAGTTATTGACCTTCAAATTGATACCAATTATATGACTGTATGTACTCCGATGCGGGAGTTATACGTAATTAAGTAAAGGTTACTATGTGCATATTATTACGCTGGTTACTCCATAAGAGGACGGAAATGTCGCGTTGATCGCTTTGAAATTGTACATGAAGTTCCGATTATGGTCAAGGATGACGCCTATAGTTTTCGGTGAAGTTGAGATTTCATTCAGGGGGTGCAATGAACCGAAAACTTTAATTTTCTCAGATTTTCTAGTCGCTCTAGAGGCAATTATTATATACAGAACATCACATATTTTACAAGGTGAAGGGGATCTGACCAAATATTTAGAGCGGCTGCTTAGATGATGATCGATCAATTTTCCGAGGGTCAAATCAACCAAAACCTAAAGTGACCAATTTTTTTTTTTTTTTTTTTTTTTTTGAAAATATGCAAGACTTAGAAGGAGGAGTTGTTGATCTATAATCGGTAAAAAGGATGCAAATATCACGAAATATTGCCCAGGCTCAGAATATAGAACCGCAGAAAGTGTGCTTTTCGTGGTAATTGAGTAGGGTATCATATGGTCGGCCCCGTCCGACTATGCTGCTCCGCTCACTGGTTTCATATCTAGTACCTGCCAATAGATATATGATGGAGGGTATTCAAAGTTCGGCCGAACTTACCGCTTTTCCACTTGTTTTTTTTTTTTCAAAAAATGTAAAATTTTCCAAAAACGTTTTGAGCGAAATACAACCAATTAGTTCTACAAACAATGCATTTCAAGCATATATTAATTTTCAAATTAAACAGCTCTCCTAATTGTTTAAAGGCATTTAATCTCCCAAACTATACCAAAAAATATTTAAAATTAATTATTTTCAACAACTGCTGGTGGTTTATTTTCCAGTTAATTGTCTTTATAATAGAATTTCGCCTTTGGCATAATTTCACCACAATGCTATTGTTAGTTTATATATATTTTTTATTGCAATGTGTCATGCTAATGTTTTTTTTCTGTTTTTCCATAAAATGGAAAATTTTGCTACCGTTTGTTTCCCACCTGACAATCAATTTACAATTAATTGAATAAAAAATTTTTTGAAGGATATAATTAAATTGAAATTGATGTATTATTTTGTGTGTTATTTATTTGCGAATTGACTGGGTTCTTGACTAAACTAAATAATTGTAAAAAAACAATAAAACACTGAAATAACAAAACGAAAATAATTAATTGCTCTGCAAAACTCAATGGATGAATTGAATTTTTAATGAATTGGAAAAAAGAGTGTTTATTAACACAAAATAGGACGATTGAAAGGATAGTGGAATGCAAATATATTACGAAATTATGCTTGTAATCAAAAATATAAATAATAAAGTATATATTGGGGAACACTTTTCCGAACATTTGACCCATTATCTGATAGTAAATATTTCAAGGATATAGGCATATAAAGAAAATCTCTTCTCTATACTAATTAATTTAAAAAATTAAAACTTCGCTGAAATTTAATTAAATTATTGTATGTTAATTTAATATTTTACAGAGATTATCTACATGCATGCCTCTTATACCTTTGTAATTTCATTGTAAATTTTAAAGCATATTAAAAATTAGCATTAAAAGCACATTGCGTTTCGGCGTGTGTTTGTAAAATTGCCAAGTCATTAATGCAAATTTCAACTGAACACCCATAATAGGGAATTAATGTATAATATTATGCATGTTTTATTTATTTATTATTATATGTGACAAAGGGCAGGTCGCATTTATGATTCCATTTGGCAAATGTCACTTATTTGGCCAAAGGACGAACCCTATTCAAATTGGAGAAAATTGGTTCAGATTTATATATAGCTCCCATATATAGTTTCGTCCGATTTTATGTAAAAGGAGCACCGTATTGGTTTGAAGACGTTTCAGGTTTGGATATAGGTTCCATATATATCTTCATCCTATTTCATCAAAATGATGTACCAAATAACTAAAGTTTGCACACTTAGGACAATTTAGCCCCCAACGTACCAAATCGATGCAGTGGACTAATTAGTCCCATCTTCGGACTTGATCTAGGCTAGGTAAAGATAACAGGCTGTGTAAAATCTGGTTCAAATCGGACATTCCATTCACCGGATATTGGATTTACAAACATTGAAAATGTTGACTATTTGTGGAGGAGGTAGAAAGAGTGTTCGGTCTTCGGGCTTGATCTAGGCTTAGTAACGATAATAGGTTGTACAAAGTTTGGTTCAAATTGCGTGATATTGTAAAATAAAGTTTTAGCTCAATTTTTACAATTTGGTGGGGGAGGACCGATATTCCCCATCTTCCAACTTAAACTAGATTTTGAAGAAATAATTGGATGTGCAAAGTTTGAACGGAATCGGTTGCTCCCTTCGAGAGTTATCGTGCTCTTAATAACCTGTATTGGATTTTGTGTCGAGATACATTTTGGATGAGCGCACTGTGTTGCAGCATACCAAATGGTGGATGTCATAGTAGCTCAAATACGTCCATTTATATATACATATTTTGCTCGATGATTGACATTCAATGTTGCATAAACTTCAGATTAGTATGTCCATGGTTTGTTTTAATTTAGTTCAAATATCAATGTAATTCACGCAGTCCTCAAAAGATGATATGTCTATTCTATCTAAGAGATATTGTGCTCTTATATGTACATATTATATATTGTATGTACTCAAAGTGGTGAAGGGTATCATATAGTCGGCCCCGTCCGACTTTTGGACTTTCCTTATTGTTTTTTTATGACTCAATATGTTTTGCCTGCCGCCATCTGAAAGTTTGAAATCTCATAGCATAAACGTAGTTAGAAGCGGTTTAACGTAGGACAATGTGTTCTGTTTTTGCAGTGATACACAACTATGTTGTCAGGGTATTATAGTTTTGTACAGCCCCAAGAGTTTGGAACGCCGCGAGATATTGGTCCTAGACCAACCTTTAAGTTTATCGATCGTCGTATCTCGACTAGCTGAGTCAATCCAGACATGTATGTCCGTCCGGACGGACGCGTCCGCCCGTCAGTCTGTCCATTATAATTT